GAAGAATAATTAGGGGGGAGGGGGGGCTTATTTGAGATGGGGGGCCTTAAAAGAGGATTTACGGTAGGACAATTTTATTTCATGTGACCTCGCTGATCATGTTAAAAGTATTATGTCTCAATTTTTTCCTTTTAAATTCTCAGGTATTCTGATAAACATCTGGAACCCACCTGCCCTTTCTCACCATACCGCTGACAAATTTGTTCGTCTTGACCGAGTGTTAATAGTTGGCACTAGCCCCAGTGTGGATTGCCGCAGTTTTAGGATTGAGCCGCGTAATTCAGGTATCACAAAAAAAGTGCGTCCACCCCGTTACAAAGGAGGTGGCAATATAGGTTTTATGCTTTCATCGTTCGCCTCCACGCCCGGTTTGGCACCTGAAAAACCCTGGCATTTGCTCACCTCTGCCCCCGCGATACGAGGGGTTGTAAGACTGAGCAATGTTGGATTCGCTCATTTTGGAACAAGGTGCGGCCTAGACAGTGTTGTTTTCAGTACTAATCCAGGCTCCCCTGATGCGTTTCATCCAGTATTGGCGCAGGGCATTTCTATGTACAATGTTGACAGTGATAAGCTTTTTCACATACCGCCATCAAATATTGGGTGGATAAACCCCTCAGATTGCGTTGATATGGACTGCGATGGAGCTAAGCATGTTCTAATCAAGGATCTAGACGGAAGTCTAACTGGCGTCGCAGGGGGAAGTGTGATTCCCAACGCTGAGTATGAGTGGAATGGAGACCGCCGTAGGGGATTAGGTAGGAAAATTTGATTGTAAGTACGAAAACCCTACACGTGTATCAGTGCCTAGTTTGAGAGATGCTCTATGCCATTTATCTTATGCACCTCAAGGGCATATCGTACGCAGTAATCAATATCTTTTATTACGCTCTCTAAATGGTATTGTCATCGTTTTTTAACAGAATACAGAAAGATAAAAAAAGTATTACCTGTTAGTATATAATGTGCTAATGGGACGTTTTAAAGAAGGCATGGCCGCCCCCAAATTAGCACCGCACCGACAAGGCGCTAGGCAAATTTGATACACAATCTAGAGCTCTTTCGGGTAAATATGGTACGGACTTGTAGAAGTATATAAGTAAAGCTGTCAAACACTAAAAAGGTACACTGTTTTGACTTATTATCGTGATTCTGAGATGGTACGCTTGAGTTTGTTGGGCAGAGATTGAGCAATTGTCTTTTTTTGTCCTGTAGGAGATTACCGCATACCGCGACCGCTACTGACGGCATCAGACGGCTCACGTCTCAATGCCTCTGTTGTTGCGCCACATCATGGTATAGTTCGAGGCACGCGTGCGCAGAGCTTTTGCTCCTGGATTACTGACTGGAATGCGTACAAATGCTCCACCCTAGGTAAGAATTTAAAATTACTGGAAGCAGGGATTTCGAATATGCTCAAATTGACACATGTATATCTTCGAAAGAGGACCACGATGTTCCTCTATTTTCATCATTGAAAAAGTAGCAAAACACATACACTAAACGTTATTCTCATGAAATCTGTACAAGAATAACCCACGATTTTTTTCCTCTTAGACTACCAGATGCTTGTTATAGAGAGTTTAGACGCTGATACAGAACTTCGCAGGCTCTCTCCAGTGGCCCTTTCAGCCAATGGCTACACAGATCTGCTTAACGGTCCCATGGATCATGGATGTTGCTTCGGTTATTCTTGCATGGAAAGATTATCGACATTCTACTCAATAGTGGCCGCACACAATAATTACACCCTTTATTTTACAGGTAAGCAAATAATTAGTGCTCTTGCACTTGTTAGCGATCTGAATCAAATTCAACTGGTACAACTGTGACCCCTTCCGATTCTCAAATGGAGTTCTTGTTTGCGCTAGCAGGTTGCCCTAGAGTTCAGTAGTTCAGCAGGGACCAGTTACTCCTTTGTTTACAGTGGAATCTCATTTACTTGCGATGGAATACATTAACGTTTTTAAAAGCATTAATTGCAACCCGTTTTATTCTCTTTAAGTTCGCCCATCCTTGCGTTGTCTTCGTTCGTTTTGGCTACGTTATATATATCTTGTTTTGATGTTTTAAACAGTTATCTTTACGTTTTCATTGAATTTGGTGGCAGTTACCGTTGTCTGAATTTTGACAACGCAGCTCCTTAAAACTTTTCATTGTTGTTGTTTTTCTAGGTACCAATCCACAGAATCTTCGCCTGACCTTACTTAACGCAAACGAAACTCAAGCTGTTCGTGTGGCCATCTGGTACTCCACACCCCGGCGCTTAGACGTGTATCGCGCAGGCGTGTACATTTATCCAACTAACGCAAAGCTCGACGCACAAAACTTTAGCTACAAAAAGAAGGATCCCAGCCTCCCTGATGACCAGTTTGAGCCGTCGCTCAGTAGCATCAGCGGAGCTAACTATTATGAGCGTGAAAGTCTGCTGCTCTACGTTGTAGTTAAAGGAAATATTGCAGTGGACATAAGGACAGCTCCTGTTATACAAGTCAAACTAGGTGAGAGGGGAGCTCGACTGTACAGTCAAACCCTGTTAATACGGATACCCAGGGGGCCATAGAAAGTGTCCGTATTAACGCGGTGTCCGTATTAAGCGAGTGATGTTATTAAAGTAAAACAACGCCTTTTAGAGCAATTTTCAATTGAGTGTTGAAAGTAATCCAGGATTGAATTGGTTTTGCTTTACTGTGCTGTTTGATTGGTCTAGAAAACTCGCGCCACCCTCTCAGCCAATCAGATGTAAACTAAAACCAATCGCTCCTTGGTCATTCGCGTTTTCCCGCGCTACAGGCCGGTTACACGCGTTTACTTCGAGTTGCCATTGGCTCCCTCTGATAATTTCCTTTACTCTGATTGGCCGTTGTGATTACTTTGGTTTTGGTTTTCGACACTCAATTGAAAAGCGCTCTATTAGAACATAATTCTAAGGAAATAAAAATAGGACATTACCATTGTCAAATTAAACATCTCTAACGTTAACGAAGCCGTAATTCCGCGGACTAAATACTGGACACACTCAAAAGTCGCTCATCTCAGCATAGCTCGTTTGACGCCAAAAGTAGTCCTAAAATTGACGTCTACAATTCGTCTGATCCGATGTACTGTACCGCTAGAAACCACAACATGCTGTCAACTGAAAGATTTTTATGCCCCCTGCTTGCTTGCGAATGAAGATTTGTACTGAACAATGTGCATTGCTAGGGGTGAGCTCAGTTTGCTGGGAGAACTAAACGGACACCATTATTTGCCGTAATTTGGCCACTTCGTTAAGTGGCCGAATACCAAATCAGATTAAACAAAAACCGAAAATGAATACCTTATCCCAGCGACGGTGAGGACTAACACGCCAAGGCCCTGATCGACCTGTGTCACAACTACGTCATTACAATCCAATATTTTGTGGATTACAATCCGCTCATTATTAAACCAATTATTTGTGAGTTGCATGTACATGTTATTTTACTAGCCAATAATTTGTGGATTGCTGTCGCCTCATATTCAAACCAGTTATGTGTGTTTAACAACTTTTTCATGACAATCCAATTATTTATTGATTACCTTATACCTATTTCTATCTGACTGTGCGGCTGGGCAAAAGAGGACAAAGCACACTTATTGTCTAATTGATGCATTTTCTTTCTTCATCGCTGCTGTTTTAACTGAAATTTTCTGTTTTTTACTTTCTAGGCAGCAAACCTGTACATTTCAACGACTTCTTTGAAAAAAATTTAATCCAAAATCTCGCCGCGCTTCTTGGCATTGACGAGTCTCTCATCAGGGTGGTGGAGATTGTGAATGCTGCGGGAGATTCACGAAGGAGGCGAAGAGATTCTGACGATGACACGATGACTGTAACGCTAGAAATCGGTGATCCACCGCAAAAGAAAATTCCTTTTAAACCAGAGGAAACGTATGTTCCTGGAAACTCAAGGTGATCTTTGGTCTATCGTCAATTCGACTGTCAACGTTTGAATTTCCTATTGCGTCTTACATTTGGTACTTTAATAGATAGTTTGTTGTTGTTGTTGTTGTTGTTTTGTGCTTGTAAAAATAGAGAACACGAATTTAAAAATATTAAATGTACTGTGAAATCTAAAGAAAGCCATAGTGCATCCCTCTCCGAATTTCTAAGTTTGCAGTCTTCATTTGATGACCTGGCGATCACTTTAATTTGTCACTTGTGTAGTTATACCACGGCTACTCCAGTTACCATGCCAACCACAACACCGACCCCAATGGATCAGTATATCGCTCTCCAGTCCTTGGCGTCCAAAACTGTGGCAGCAGCACAGACAGGTCGCATGGCATCCTTAGTTAATCTTGATATCTTATCCGTTGAAGTGACAGATCCCGAACCCCCGCAGGAACTCCCGAAGGGATGGAAACGAGCTACACCCGAGGATGGTAATTATTCTGTTTAAACCATCTTCCCCGTAGAACTGTTAGAATTCTGAGAAACCTTGTCGAAAAACAGGTGGCAGGAAATAAAATTTTGCTTCCACTGATCGCACTTTACTGACCTGTTGCTCTTTTCGCGAACTATAGTAAGTGACTCTTCGATATACTGACCTAAAACGTCGATGCTTTGCCTTGCTTTCTAAATCTACGTCCTTTTTTTCGCGTAAACTGAATAGCCATGCCAGTAGCATTGAAGGAGTGCTTGAACTGTTAATTGTGATTGGTGTCTATTTCAGCGGGCCCAAAGAATGGTACTTGGCGGTTTGATCAAGTAGAGTCGATGAAAGAAGGCAACAAGTCCAGTCCAGTTCATGATTACCTCATTCCAGTCAGACTCGTTGTGTTGCAGCAGCCTTTTGGAGCCAACGAAACAGTTCCGTTCCTTGTGCAACCCAAGCTGAGGATGGTAAATGAATTAAACCGTACGGTCAGCTTGCTGGGGCATGGCCAGCAAGGACAATGGTACGTATTCCTAGACAATACTAATAATCAACGTCGTCATCATTACCACCACCACCACCACCACCACCACCTTCACCACCGTCATCACCATCATCATCATCATCATCATCATCATCATCATCACCACCAACATCAACATCACCATCATCAACTACCAACACCACCACCACCATCACCACCATCACCATCACCACCATCATCACCATCACCGTCACCCCCATCATCACCATCATCATCGCCGCCATCATCCCCATTATCACCACCACACCACCACCCACAACAACAACAACAACACCAACACCAATTACCATCACCATCACCACCATCATCACCATCATCATCACCATCATCATCACCATCATCGTCGTCGCCGTCATCATCATCATCATCATCATCATCATCATCATCATCATCATCATCATCATCATCATCATCATTATCATCATCTTAAGAGAGCCTCATTCGCAAATAGAAATGGTGCTATTCATTTTGATGTTTTGTAAGAGTAGTCTGATGGAAGGGGACACCGTTGTTTCTAACGTAGACATTCTCAATTTGTTCCATGCAAAAGGAATAATTATTTAAAAAATACCTCTCTAAGGCGGATGGAAGCTAGTCTCTTATTCCTTTCTTTCTTTCTTTTTTGATTCATTTAGTCTTTTTCCTAATTTGTTAGTCATTTTAGATGTTTATTTATGCGACAAAAACCAACTGTTGAATGCCTTTAAGCCCTGTGTGTGCGTACTACACTGGGATAACCTTTTCTCCTTAAGTGGTCCGCTTAGTTCGTTTACCTATTTTAGGCACGTAATGTTACCATAGAAACCTGTCCTTCACATTTTACTCGATTCATGTATCTGAATATCGCTTAAGATAAGACTAGGAGCGTCAAATTCTAACTGGAAATAACTTTGAAATAGAAAACTAATTCTAAAGCAGAGCCAACAACGATCTTTTTTTATTTTGTTAGGTATGTAACGGCGTCTATCATGAATGGCACAGGAGACCCAGAGGCCCTATTAGGTGGAAATACTACAGTGCCTTTTATTGATGGTTGGGCAAATTTCACAAATCTCAGCATCAGCCATAACGATACAGATTATGTGCTAGAATACAAGGTGACCTTCCCTGTGGAGGCAAACTTCACTGCCCATTCAGAATCGTTTGAAGTCAAGGAGCGGATTTTGTATTTCACACTGGTCAGTCATCCTCGGGACGCCAACGAAACTGTTCCCTTTGGTCAGCAGCCTTTGGTTGAAGTCCGCGATGCTGCTAATGGAGAATTGGTGACGAATACTGGCTGGAAAGGACGTAAATGGATTTGCAAAGCATCTTTAAGGGATCAACAAAGTCTTAAAGGTCAGATAAATAAAATAAGAATTTTTTAGCCCATTTCACGTAACCTAGAAGAGTGGGAACAGTGCAACTTTATTGCATAACTCACAGTTACTTTGACACACTTCTTGTCATCTTTACAAAGTTTATTTATAGCATAGGATCCGTTATGCGCAGCCGAAGATGGGAATTATCCTGTGCAATGGTAAAAGAAGGGCGTTTTTTTTTAAATCTGTCTTTCTTTATAGTGCCCCTACGTAATAGCAAAAGACTTGGAAAGCTTTTCCATTCGGTTCCCTTGGAGATAGACATAAATCTTTATTTTTCCATTGGCAGGCAATCTCAGTGGGGCAGCTTCTGTCGAGTTTTCGGCCGGTGTTGCATCTTTCACCGATCTCTCCATTAATCATGAAGGGAAAAGCTACGTACTGGACCTGGAGGCGTTCACTGTTCCTTCCTCTCGTTACCAGTTCTCTACTAACACTGAACCATTTGATGTAAAAGAGAGGCTCCTAGAACTAGTAATCTCGCAGCAGCCGGGTAAGGATGAAGACGGTCATTATACGTTTCTGGAAAACTGCCCACCTACCCCTCCCTTAAGTCAGCATTAACACTTACTTCTCACTTAGGGCAAAATGTTGACCTAGGGGATGAGGTAGGTGGGTAGGTTCTTAGTATTTTGCCAATCATTCGATAATTTACAGGGTGGCTGCTAGGTAATTTGACGCATGTTCAGGGCAAGTAAGATACAATATAAGGCTTGAAGTAACATTTGAATTTTCAAAGCCAGTAGCTTAAACAAGGCTGATTTTTCCACTCGTAAATTGTAGCTTTATTATAATTCTATAATTTTCTTCTCTATAGCGGTCAAGAGAATAAGATATATTTTATACCCGCGAGTTATATTTTAGTGATATTATGGCGACTAAAGACCACCGAGTGTTTGCATATTCTGTGCCTTTTAGGAGTACGTTTGCATTACGGTTTTGAATGTTTGAATAAAATTCAACAGCCCGTCTTAGACAACAACTTCTATCCCTTAATGATAGACACTTGAATTCCCTGTTGCATGTATGGAATCAAACATAAGACATACTTCTCAATTTCAGATAATTGTGACCTTCCAAGTGATTATAGAATTAAACGCTTACTGTTTAATTATATCTTATCCTTAATCAACTTGCTGTCAGAAATCGTGAGAAGCTGTTCTTCTAGACTGCCATTTCTTTCGCCCACGCTATTTGCTAATTCATTTTATATTCTATCCAATAAGGTGATTGTAATGACACAGTTTCTTGTGGCTTCCAACCTATACTTGAGATCCGTGATATTGCTACAAATACTCTGGTTGGTAATCTGGGATGGCGCGGACGAACTTGGAAGGTGCAGGCTACCATGGAACAGGGAGCNTAATTTGACGCATGTTCAGGGCAAGTAAGATACAATATAAGGCTTGAAGTAACATTTGAATTTTCAAAGCCAGTAGCTTAAACAAGGCTGATTTTTCCACTCGTAAATTGTAGCTTTATTATAATTCTATAATTTTCTTCTCTATAGCGGTCAAGAGAATAAGATATATTTTATACCCGCGAGTTATATTTTAGTGATATTATGGCGACTAAAGACCACCGAGTGTTTGCATATTCTGTGCCTTTTAGGAGTACGTTTGCATTACGGTTTTGAATGTTTGAATAAAATTCAACAGCCCGTCTTAGACAACAACTTCTATCCCTTAATGATAGACACTTGAATTCCCTGTTGCATGTATGGAATCAAACATAAGACATACTTCTCAATTTCAGATAATTGTGACCTTCCAAGTGATTATAGAATTAAACGCTTACTGTTTAATTATATCTTATCCTTAATCAACTTGCTGTCAGAAATCGTGAGAAGCTGTTCTTCTAGACTGCCATTTCTTTCGCCCACGCTATTTGCTAATTCATTTTATATTCTATCCAATAAGGTGATTGTAATGACACAGTTTCTTGTGGCTTCCAACCTATACTTGAGATCCGTGATATTGCTACAAATACTCTGGTTGGTAATCTGGGATGGCGCGGACGAACTTGGAAGGTGCAGGCTACCATGGAACAGGGAGCTGGGAACGAGGTGATTATCGGCTTAACTCATTTCCAGATCCCTCGCTCAGGACGTGCGGAGTTTTCAAACATCAGCTTTTATGACGTGGCCTCTGGCTATAAAATGAAGTTTGAAGTTACGGTCACTCCTGACTCCCAGACCTACTCAGGAATGGTTGCGATCTCAAACACATTTGATGTAAACCCTCGCCAGTTTTACCTGGATATCGCAACCCAAGTTTCCAATGCGAATCAATCAGTAATATTTGGCACACAACCCGTGGTGGAAGTTCGCGATCTGGGAACTGGAAAGCGTGCCACACCCTTGAAAACCCCTTGGTGGATTGCAGTATCGCTTTTTTCTAATCCCAAGTCAGGGAAGGCATTCTTAAATGGAATTTTCAATGTTTCAGTCGTCAAGGAACAAGCTGTTTTTACCGATCTTCTCATAACGTTGTATGGACACGGCTATGTGCTGAAGTTTGAATCAAGCTACGGCCTCAGTGTCTTCTCAGATCCTTTTGAGGTAAGAAAGTGCGTTTCTTACATGAACCGCTGTAAGCGCTTTGGATGTTTCTTTCTTTCCAATTCGCTAGTTTTGAGAGAAATGTACCGCGTACCAAGTACCAAGCCGGAAAGAACTACCGCGTTGGTAGGCGGGTATTGGCGTAGTCAGCCCATAGACCAGTAGGCCCAGGCCTACAAATTTTTGGTTTGATCACTCTAGACTTGTAATAAATTGTGCGTTGTAGGGGTGAGCTAAAGTGTTAGTGAGGTTAGTGCTTACTAGTCATGCGTGTAATCAGCGGAATTATAAACAATAATTTTTCAGGATATGTGGAAAAGTAAGTCAGCCAGGCCTACAACAAGTCGAAAAGCTGGCTACACCCTTGGCGGGAAAGTGTTTAATTGAATTCTTTTTGGCAATATAGTAGCATTTCTGAGAACAGTCTATAACTAACGGTTATAGTTGTTTTTAATAATTCCTGTTTCTCTATAATAGCCTGACAATGCAACTACAATGGTTTCCCTTGTTAATTATCATCAATAAGATAAAATTATTTTCACTAATCAATTATTATTGTGGTTTGTTTTCCGTTTGCTTGTTAAGTGGTTGTCTGATAACTATGTAAATCAAGTAAACGTATGCTGATTTCAACCCTCCAAAACATTTCTCCGCTTCTTTAGGTTCACTACGTCAACGATTATTCCCCAGTCTTTGTTAACTCGAGCGGCAATTACATCGTCAACATTTCCGAGGCAGTATCGATTGGTTCCTTTGTAATCAATATCCATGCGACAGACAGCGATAAAGGGAGCCAGGGAGATGTTTACTATGCTCTGATTGGAAGAAATACTGGAAACAGTTTCAATTTGAATCGGACTTCAGGCGCTATGACCACTGCAAAGAAACTCGACCGGGAAACAACTGCATCTTACCATTTGGTTGTAAAAGCCTTTGATGGCGCTGTCCAGGAGAAAATTCGTTTCACTCTGGGGCGCGTTCTGGTGAAAATTGAAGACATAAACGACAACGCACCACAGTTTACTAAAGAGGAATTTACATCAAGTGTGAATGAAACCGCTAACCTTGGCGACGTCGTTCTGCGTGTGTGGGCGCTGGACAGTGATGCAGGCATGAACTCCGAATTAAAGTTTTCTATCACATCCGGGAACACTGATGGATATTTTGATATAATACCTAGTACAGGTGACATAGTTGTGAAGAAATCCCTTGACTTGGAAGGACAATCTCCACCGTCGCTTCGCTATAGTCTTGGTAAACTTTTATTATCCTTTTTATTATTGCAGCGACAAGAGGAGCACGCAATCCTAATCTCTAGGTTGTTATTACGCTTGCGTCGCATGTATGTAGCCAGCATTCGTTTGAACTTCCACTAACAATGATGTGTGGAATGCACAGAGCGCAGTTCGATCACGCGCGTTTGGACCTTCTGTCACTCCTTATCTGATCACGCATGTTTTGACCATCTGTCACGTGAAACTTACGCACAGTAACGCTTTTAT